GGGGAGGAGTATGCCCACGGGGGTGGTGGTGGTGGTGAACGAATGATTGTAGACAGGATCGGTTTCACCCTGAAGTCTTTTGAAATGTTAATATAGGCCATCTGGTTAGGAGTGAGTGAGTTAGAGCCCAGAGCTTCTGGAAGCAGGTTATTAAAGATAACTGGCAAGACAGTATCATTTCCTGAGGTCCTCTAACACAAAGGGTTTGAACAATGATCCCTCTGGAGCATTGGGCTGACATTCCGTTTGGTTAATGATTTTTTAAATAATAATAAAACACTTTCTAGCTATGTGAGAATACCAGAACGATGTTCAGCTGTGTTTTGTTGACTATGGAAAAGCATTTGACTGTGTGGATCCTAACAATTTATGGATAACATTGTAAAGAACAGGAATCCCAGAATACTTAATTGTGCTCATGAGGAACCTCTACATAGACCAACAGGCAGTGGTTCGAACAAAACAAGGGGATACTGTGTGCTTTAAAATTAGGAAAGCTGTGCAGGTTGCATCTTTTCACTATATTCAATCTGCCTGCCAAGCAAACAATCTGAGAAGCTGGATTATATAAAGAAGAACGTGGCATCAGAATTGGAGGAAAATTCATCAACAACTTGCAATATGCAGATGACACAACTTTGCTGAAATGAAAAGGACTTGAAGCATTTACTAATGAAGATCAAAGATGATATCCTTCAGTATGGATTACATCTCAACATAAGGAAAACAAAAATCCCCACAACTGGACCAATAAGCAACATCATGGTAAATGGAGAAAGTATTGAAGTTGTCAAAGATTTCATTTTACTTGGATCCGTAATCAACACCCACGGAAGCAGGAGTCAAGAAATCAAATGATGTATTGCATTAGGCAAATCTGCTGCAAAAGACCTCTTTAAAGTGTTTTAAAACAAAAATACTATTTTGAGGACTGAGGTGAGCCTGACCCAAGCCATGGTGTTTTCAGTCGCCTCATATGCAGGCGAAAGCTGGACAGTGAGTAAGGAAGACCAAAGAAGAATTGATGCCTTTGAATTATATAGTGTTGGCAAAGAATTTTGAATATGCTGTGAACTGCCAGAACACATGAATCTGTCTTAGAAGTACAGCCGGAAGCAAGGACGGCGAGACTTGTCTTCCATACTTCGGACATGTCATCAGGAGGGACCAGTCCCCGGAGAAGGACATCATGCTTGGTAAAGTTGTTGTTGTTGTTGTTATGTGCCGTTGAGTCAGCCCTGACTCACAGCGACCCCTCCTTGGGTTTCCGAGGCAGTATCACTACGGAAGTAGGATGCCCAACCTTCCTTCCAAGGAGTGGCTGATGGGTTTGAACCGCCAGCCATCTGGTGAGCAGTCAAGTGCCTTAGCCACTATGCTACCAGAGCTTGGTAAAGTAGAGGGTGGTAAAAAGAGGTGGAACCCGGAACGAGATGGACTGACATGATGGCTACAACAATGTGCTCAAAAAATAGCAGTAACTGGGAGGGGTGGCATGGGACCAGGCAGTGTTCCGTTCCATTGTACCTGGGGGCGGCATGAATTGGAACTGGCTCAACAGCAACTACCAATAACAAGCGATGCAATTAAGTCTGCATGCAAGATCAAGATGGCTGTCATTAGGTTGAAAGCAGAACAAACAAGGGAGGTCAGATTCAGATCCCAAACCAGCCATTTCTGATTTCCTAGGAAACCTCCATTTTAAAGTCCCCTACACACAGTACTTTGTCTTTTTCTTTTCTTTTTCTTTATTTTGCACTGTTCTTTCCCCTCCCCTCCCACCCCTGGTAACTAATAAAGAAAGTTTCTTCATATATATAAACTTCACATTGACTTTTTACAATAAGGTATTAATACATTATTTGTCCTTCTGTGATTGACTTATTTCACTCAGCATAATGTCCTCCAAGTTCAT